GGTGCTTTACAAAGTGAAATCTCAACAAGCAGTGTACATCCTGATTCGCGTGCGGTGTTCCGATACCAACTGGGCGATGTACATATAAACCAAGGACCCGCAATGTGATGAAAAGGACTGAATGGACAATGCAGCGCAGTGAAATCTCAACAAGCAGTGTACATCCTGATACAAGTCCTGACCTGACCGGGACTGACCTCTTTCACGTAGTACAAGACAGTGCAGCAAAATACTAGAATACTAATGACTCTGTCTCTTATACACATCTAGATGTGTATAAGAGACAGGTCTAGGGTAGCGCAGCACCCGCCTTCAAAAAAAAAATCAAAAAAATCCTTGCTGTGTTTTAGCGTCGCCAGGTTTCGCCTGGCGGACCCCCGGGCCCAACCGGCCGGCTGAGCACGCCTGGCCGGGCGGCGGCCCAGCCTAGCTGGGCAATCCATTCCTCTCCAACTTCCCAGATTCAGATAAAGATTTGAGGCAGGCTTTAGGAAGGCTCTCACCAGGTTTGCATCAAAGCATGTGAAGGGCGACCCAAGAACTTCAACGAAATAACCTTCATCGTAGAGCATGTCAAACATTTCGTGGTAGTTTGTATGCACATGATCCCCATGCCAGTCCAGAATATCGTGACGCACATCCAGTGAATCTCTGGGAATGTACCCAGGAGGATATTGCACACTATGGAACTGATCCCACAATAGTCGTTTTTCCCGAGGAGGGGTCGGAATCACTTTGACTTTGAGCCTTGCAGAGACAGGACAACATCTCTTCTCTGTCTCTCCAGGCCCAGGTAGGGACCACACGACAAAGGAAATGTTGCCCTCTACTGCCCCGCTGAATGTTGCACCTCCTGCATTTATCCTCATATGCAGACCCAAGTAACCTGCAAGCAAGACAGAGGTGCACTTATCAGTTAACCAGATGAGCAGCACACGTTAATTATCCAAAGCAGTCCATCAATACCAGATGACGACATCAGCTGAGGCTACAGTGACCTCCAACACGACAGCTAGTCTAACCAATATGTTACTCACTTGAGCGCTATGAACAATCAAAGTGGCTAATACCCTGCCTGCACTCCCTTTTTGTCAGTCACCAAGCGAACTGAGAGTCCTTCGAGATCCATAGTCCTAGATCTGGTGGCAGCCAGTAGCAGACAACAGATCCAATTGTCGCTCGGCTTTCACCTTCCATACGGAGGGCCGGTGCGGCTCTGCCGGCATCAGAAAGAGGTCTGCTGTATGTGAGGACTAACTGAATGGTCAATGGCGGATTGCAAAATAGACTGGGAAATGACAAAGTCAAAGGTATGCATCGTGGGATTGCTGAGAAGCTATGTGTCACCCATTCAAACGTAAAGCAGCAATAAGGGCAGAAAATTAAGGAGGCTTGATTGCGAGCAGTGAAATAAACCACGAACAGAAGAGAGCAAAGCCGATGGTAGCAATTTTGGAAAGAGGAGCACTCAAGTGCACCGTGCTTGTTGTCTAATATTAATTACAGAGCAAGGGCAAATCACAATAATGACGTCCTACTTTTCCCGGAAATTGGAAAAGGACGAGGTATAACAGATCCATAGAAAACATTGAGCATTATGCAGAAAACTGAAACTGATGGTTGTGACCAAGAAAGCATGAAAGAGAAACTCGATAAAGTGATGAGAAATCAAAATTGAATAGCGTTGTAAAAATGCAGAGAAATTGGGAGAATTGGAATGACGAGAAGAAGATTGAAGGAGCATGATCAATTGGAACTGCAGAAAGCAAGTGTTACATGCCCAGTTGGGCGATGTACACATAAACCAAGGATCCGCAATGTGATGAAAACGACTGAATGGACAATGCAGTGCAAGTGAAATCTCAACAAGCAGTGTACATCCTGATACATACAAAGTGGTGGTTTACAGCGCAGTGGAAGACTTAGATACAAGTCCTGACCTGACTGGGACTGACCTCTTTCAGGTAGTACAAGATAGTGCAGCAGAATACTAGAATAGTAGAATACTAATGACTAGCCCAATCAATGTTACAACGCAGACCAAACATACGTCATTCTCACCATACGGTGTGAAGGGAGACTGGTGCTATACACAGGAAGAGGCGCCAGGTCCAGTTCATGCACAGACGAAGAGGAGGGGATCAGACGGAGAAGAGGAGGGGAGAGATGGGAAAGTTATCAACACCAAGGCTCGTTACAAGTCCCAAATAATCCCTCGTCAAAATGTCTGAAGTCCAATATCGAGTCTGGATCCAAATGTCACCAAGCTCTCTCTCTCTCTCTCTCATAGTCTGCTGATGCAGTGAAGTCAGATAACGAGAGGGTGAGAGGGAGATGGTGGACTGAGAAGAGGAAGAAGAAGAACTCTCTCTCTCTCATATACCAGGTACTAACCTGTGAAGGTGGCGCTGTGCTGCAGGTACCTTGAAGATGAAGCTCGAGTGATGGCGCTGCAGGTAAGGCCCCCGGCCTCCGCCCAATCTGTCTCTATAGTACTACTCTAGCTGCTAGGGCGCCCAGCGCTGAAGACTAAAGCTAACGCTACTACCGCCCAGCGCTGAAGACTACTGCTAACGCTACTACTAATCCTGCAGCACTCCTCCAGAGTACTGCTGCCGAATCCTGAAGACTACCTCCTGCCTCCTGAACTGCACGTGAAGTGCCTGGGAAGTACCTAGGAACTACCTGCAGCCTGCAGGGCTGGCCAGTCTTATATAGTGCTGGCCCGTCCAGGAGGCTGCTCTTGCCAATGCCAAAACGTGCCAGACCCTGGGGTTGAAGCTCAAACAAAGGTTGTCTTGAAAATAGGCTAAAAATGGCCTGAGCTAAAACCCTGGTCTGGTGCCTGAGTTCCAGGGCAGGCCGATCTTATGAGGGCCTGAAAATGGCCCTCAGTTTCAGGCTGAAAAGACTCAATCCGGCCGTGATTTAGGCTGAAACGGCGCAGGGCCTGTAGGGCCTGTAGGCACTTGTTTTCAGGCTTTTGGGCTGAAAACGACACGGGCCTGAAAATGGCCCGTGCAGCCTGTTGCAGGCGCAGCATGTAACACCCCCCCCTCATGAAGTCAGGCCGAGTCGAAGGCGAAGCTGACGATCTGGAGCCGAAGATACCAGCTTGCCTTGCATCTTGCGTCCGTAGCGTGCGAGAACATCTCGAGCTGTTGCTTGGAGTTCCGCACGGGTCAACCAGCAGTCAGCTTTGTGGGTGCAGTACGCAAAGTGTACCAAGTACTCGGTTGGCCTGTTGCCGTAGCGTCGCTGGGAGATGATGTCGCCAACCTCTTGAAAACCGTCCATCGAGGGTGGGTCTTGGGATCGTCGCCCGGGGAAGTCGTCATGTTCCGCTGGCGTGTAAAGAGCCAACTTGGAGCAATGAAAGACCGGGTAGACGGGCAAATGGGCGGGCACCTGAATGGTGAAAGGTGGTCCTTCGGGTGCATCCCCAGCGGGTGCCACTACTGGCCAAGGCCCCATCCATTTCGGGAGGAGCTTGCGAGAGAGATCTTGTTCGAGGCTCAATTCCGCGGCGGAAACCCAGACAAGGTCGCCGGCACGGAATGGACAGGGAAGACGCTGGCAATTGGCTTGTTGGCTCATGCGTTGCTGTGTCTTTGCCATCTGGTCCCATGCCTTGACAAGGAGCTCTTGCATCCGACGAATGAAGAGAAAATGGTCCTCGCTCTTGGCCGCCCGTGGAATGATAGTGTCCAATGGAGAAGTGACCAGCGAACCGTGCACGAACTCAAAGGGCGACATCCCGCTAGCCGGGTGGATGGACGAGTTGTATGCCAACTCGACATCTGGCAGCCGCTCAACCCAATCCTTTTGGTCAGGACGGATAAGAGTGCGAAGGAGAACCTATGCGATCTGATGCGCCCTGTCCGTTTGGCCATCGGTTTGGGGGTGGCGAGCCGAACTTGGTTTGAGAGATGAGCCCCATCGTTTGATGAGCGCCAACCAAAAATCGAACATGAACCGAGTGTCGCGGTCGCAGACGATTTCCTTGGAGTAACCCTTGGTTCGAATCCAACCGGTGTAAAGAGCCTCGACCAACTCCGGTGCCTTCGCATGATAGCGGCAAGGCAAAAACATGGCAAACTTGGTGAGTCGGTCGACCACTGTGAGAACCCCATCCACACCAGTCTTGTGCTTGGGGAGCGGCCCGGTAATGTCCATGGCAATCGCTTCCCTTCTGCGCAAGGGGACTAGTAATGGTCGCAACTCGCCGTGCGGACGATGATTGCGGGATTTGCAACGTCTGCAAACCTCGCATAGCGTGTGACGTCGTCCAGAAGACCAGGCCACCATAAGCGCTCACGTAGTCGGCCAATCGTACGATTGACTCCAAAGCGTCGTGGAACTCGCCAAGAAGCCGTGTGCGCAAGTGTAAATCCCGTGGCACACAAAGAAGATCCTTCCCTTGAGAGTGGACGAGCAAGTACCCCTCTTGGATCCGATAGTGCGATGGCGCCGGGGATTGGGAGAGGAGCAATTTGGGTACTTGTCGCAGAACTCGTGGTCGACTTGGTAGCCGCGGATTAAGCTGTCCCGCAAGTCGTCGTAAATCTCAAAAGACTGCGATACAATGGTCCGAACACCGTGAAAGAGCATCCGCAAAAGGGTTTGACTTGCCCGGAATGTGGTAGCCGCGGATGAAACTGTCCCGCAAGTCGTCGTGAATCTCAAAAGTTGAGTAGACTGCGATACAATGGTCCGAACGCCACCCGATCGAGTACTTTAGCGAGAAAGTGCCCGTCGTGCACTCGATCGACGACGCACGTTGGCCTTCGTACACGCGCTCAAGCGCTGCCGGCATTTTCTTCTCTGTTGACGGCAGTTCCGATGGGTAACGGATAACAATCCACTGGTCTTCTACAAGATCCAACACACGGTCAATAACACCATTTCCCGTTGGATGGCCTTCATCGACCAGTTTGAATTTTTCCCCGACCACATTCCGAGCAAGTCAAACCCTTTTGCGTCTCAAAAGTTGAAGGCGTTCCCCTCGCATTCGAGGATTTTGTCTCGGCATAGTCGACGGCGTTCGTCTGCAGCCTTCCTTGCTGCCTCAGCGTCCTCCTGTCGCTGCTGTTCAGCGAGGCGACGCTGTTCCTCTGCGTCCTCATCTTCCTTCTTACATCGGATGTTGCCACAACTGCCTGTTGCTTGAACTCTGCTACCATGTCCAGCATGCGGGCCTCATAGGCCTCGGTAGTCTCGCCTGGCTGCTGATCCATGCCGCTTGTCTTTGAGCGGGTAAGCACCATGCACAGACGTGACCTGCTACTGCGGTGACTGGTTGCTGACGTGGCACTGCTGCCGTGTCCTGCTGACGTGGCAACTCATCGCCCAGATAAGGAGCCACTAATCGAAAAAGAACAGTTTGAACTTTGCAAAAAAAATCGAGAAAAAGAAAAAAATACTCGTTTGCAAGTTCAGTAGGCCTCCCAATTTCCCTGAAGTGCGAAATTACCAATGAGAAAAAATTTTGAACTTTCAAACCGCAAATGATTTTCCGATAAAAGAATTCCGACAATGAAGTACAAAAAAAAAATCAGAATTACTCGAATGAGAGTACGCGCAGTTTGGAGAATGATACCTGCAAGAGCGATTCCCGTACCGTTTTAACGGGAAATTGCAAAAGGAAATCGAAATTTTCAAAAAAAAGATATTCCGAATTTTCAACAACGAAATTTCAAATTTTCCGAAGAAAAACGAAATCGAAAATTTCAGATGTTGCGCTATTGCAATTTTCCACAACAGAAATAGCGAGAAAACGAAATCCAAGAAAAGGAAAAAAATTTTGATTTCGGGCAGTAAGGTCAAAATCGTGATTTGGGGTGCTAACTAGTGTGCTCTAATCAATCAATCAAGACTAATCGGCTACTCAGTCCCAGCACGCGTGTCAGATCAGTTGTCCTGATTCACGTGCGGTGTTCCGATACCAACTGGGCAATGTACATATAAACCAAGGATCCGCAATGTGATGAAAAGGACAGAATGGACAATGCAGTGCAAGTGAAATCTCAACAAGCAGTGTACATCCTGATATATACAAAGTGGTGCTTTACAAAGTGAAATCTCAACAAGCAGTGTACATCCTGATTCGCGTGCGGTGTTCCGATACCAACTGGGCGATGTACATATAAACCAAGGACCCGCAATGTGATGAAAAGGACTGAATGGACAATGCAGCGCAGTGAAATCTCAACAAGCAGTGTACATCCTGATACAAGTCCTGACCTGACCGGGACTGACCTCTTTCACGTAGTACAAGACAGTGCAGCAAAATACTAGAATACTAATGACTAGCCCAATCAATGTTACAACGCAGACCAAACATACATCATTCTCACCATACGGTGTGAAGGGAGCCTGGCGCTATACACAGGAAGGGGCGCCAGGTCCAGTTCATGCACAGACGAAGAGGAGGGGATCAGACGGAGAAGAGGAGGGGAGAGATGGGAAAGTCGTCAACACCAATCCCTCGTCAAAATGTTTGAAGCCCAATGTCAAGTCTGGATCCAAATGTCACCAAGCTCTCTCTCTCTCTCTCTCTCTCTCTCTCTCTCTCTCTCTCTCTCTCATAGTCTGCTGATGCAGTGAAGTCAGATAATGAGAGGGTGAGAGGGAGATGGTGGACTGAGAAGAGGAAGAAAAGAACTCTCACTCTCTCATATACCCGGTACTAACCTGTGAAGGTGGCGCTGTGGTGCAGGTACCTTGAAGATGAAGCTGGAGCGATGGTGCTGCAGGTAAGTCCCCCTGGCCTCCGCCCAATCTGTCTCTATAGTACTACCCTAGCTGCTATGGCGCCCAGCGCTGAAGACTACAGCTAACGGTACTAGCGCCCAGCGCTGAAGACTACTGCTGACGCTACTACTACTCCTGCAGCGCTCCTCTAGAGTACTGTTGCCGAATCTGAAGACTACCTCCTGCCTCCTGAACTGCACGTGAAGTGCCTGGGAAGTACCTAGAAACTACCTGCAGCCTGCAGGGCGGGCCAGTCTTATATAGTGCTGGCCCGTCCAGGAGGCTGCTCTTGCCAATGCCAAAACGTGCCAGACCGTGGGGTTGAAGCTCAAACAAAGGTGGTCTTGGCCTGAGCTAAAACCCTGGTCTGGTGCCTGAGTTTCAGGGCAGGCCGATCTTATGAGGGCCTGAAAATGGGCCTCAGTTTCAGGCTGAAAAGACTCAGGGCCGGATAGGCCCTGATTTAGGCTGAAACGGCACAGGGCCTGTAGGCCCTTGTTTTCAGGCTTTCAGGCTGAAATGACACAGGGTGACGCATGCTCAGGGGAGCAATGCGCAGTATACCAAGGATCCACAATGTGATGAAAAGGACTGAAATGGACAGTGCAAATCAGCGCAGCATCAACAAGCAATGTACATCCCGATACATACAAGATGGCGCAAATGGCACAGCGGAAGACTTCAAAGAGAAGATCTGATCTGACGTGGACTGACCCGACATCCATCACACATCACACATGGGCGAGAGAGGAGGGACCGCAATCATGGAAGGAAGGTCGCTCCTTCGTACACACACATGGAGAAACCACGGATGAGAGATGGGGGAGGGACAGACGAAAGAGGGAGGAGGCGAGAGAGTAGACCAAGATCGCAATGACGAAGTCCAAAATAGTCTCTTGCCGAATGTCCAAACAATGTCTGTCTCAGAAATGTCGAATCAGATCCTGGGCAGTGCGCCCGTTACAACCCCAGCCTGAATCCCTACTGATAACCTCTCACACGCTCAGATTCGAAGAAGAAGAGATAAGAAGGAGGAAGGAGGGAGGAGAGAGAGAGAGAGAGAGAGAGAGAGAGAGAGATGGAGGAGGGAGAGAAGAGGAAACCCTCCTTGCTATCTCACCTGCAGGTAGCTGTCACCGCGCTGACGTCGTCCGTTGTTGCGTGCAGGTACCGCGTGGCGTCCCGCTATGGCGCAGGTAAGCTCGCCGCTCACAGGTATGGCCTCCGCCACTCCCTATCTCCCCTGCGTTCTACTCCCTACTCCTCTACCTAGCGCATCGTAGCGCAGTCTCCAAGCAGCAGCATGTCGCTCAGAAGTGAGCGACCCGAACTGTCATGCCCAGGAGCTGGCCCAGCTATAAGTAGTGCTGGGCCGAGGTGCTGTGCCTTCGACCTGCGATCTGGGCCGTGAGATCATAGGTCCGATCCATGGTCCAGGTCGCAGGAAAAAGTCCTGTCCCTGGGTTTGACCTAAAAACTGCCTGCCTGGGTCCCTATCGGACGTCCAGGCCCTCCCTGCTGATACAGCAGGGAGTGTCTGCTACCAGACAACGCGAACCTGAAACAGACAAAAATAGAACAGACAAACAACAGCACACATAAGTAAAGGAATAAATACATAAATGACGGCTGCCTCAAATCTGTACCTACGGCCTGTCCAATGGCCGTGGGCCTCCAGGTCGCGTGCTTGGAACAGGCGCGCGGCCTAGGGGCCCTCAACAACCGTCGGGCCCAAAAATGGGCCCGTGTGTCAGGCTCAGCATGTAACACAGGGCCTGTAGGCCCTTTGTTTTCAGGCTTTTGGGCTGAAAACGACACGGGCCTTAAAATGGCTCGTGCAGCCTGTTGCAGGCGCAGCATGTAACAGCAAGGCACATGAGTAGATTTCAGGAGAGAACCTCTCCCCTGGCTGGGGATTGTTGATGTCGATGGTAGTGCTGTAGTAACAGCAAATCTGAACGAAGAGGGTTTTTGTTTCTTTGATTTTTTGTGATTTTTTTTTTCATAGAAACCAATAAAAATCAAACCAATGCAAGGAAAATGAGTGATAGCAAACTTCAGAAATAAAAAAAGCATCATACACGTGAGACCAGAGAGCCGTGACCTCGAACCAATAGCAGAATTGCATTACGAGTTCCACCCAATAAGAGCACAGCAAAAACTCATAGTTGATAATGCTGGAATAGTCTCATCATCATCAACGAAGAACCGATGTYGATATCCTATCTGGCGCTCAGCGCCCAGACTACAGATGGCAGATCCTATCTAGCCTATCTACAATGTCGCTCATGACGTCAACAGCTCCCCGAAGTACGAGCAGATCTCGGCCAATGCCGTTCGCTTCAAGCACCAGGTATGTCTCTCGTATCACTCACAACCTCGATCCCCAACTCACAGATGCCATATGCACCCAAGAACCACCATGCGCCGCATCCAGCATACAGCAGCGCAGCTCAGCTATGGCTGCCTGCTCCTTCCAGCCCGCCCGTGAGCACGTGAGTGCTGGTGTGGCATTCTGAGCCACACGGGCCCCAGTTAGGGCCCGGTTCCAGACAGGCAGGGTAGGCCTAAGGGACGACGGTTCAGATGAGGCCCAGATGGGCCTGGACCATGGCGGTTCAGACAGGCCTAGGGTAGAGGCCCAGGCCAAACGGCCACAAGGCCGGTACCAGTCCAGCATAGGACCTACCGGCGGCGTTTCAGAGGCTGCCACATTTAGGCGCCAAGTCCAGTTTGAATCTGGACCATCGATTCAGATCGACGGTCCAGGCCAGTAGGTGCCAGCAGGTAGGAGTCCGGACCAGCACTACAAAAGGCTGGGTACCAGCCTCCGTAGGAGTTAGTATGGACGAGAGTTAGTCTTCGGGATTAGCGCAGCTTGGCAGAGTTAAGGGGATTAGCGCAGCGCAGCAGCATTAGCGAGAGCAGCCAGGAGAAGACGAGCGCAGCGGCCCTGCCGCGCCATAGCTACCAGTCAGGTACCGGGAGGAAGGCTCTGCCTTTTCTCCCTCTGTTCCTCCACCCCCATCTCTCTCTCTCTCTCTCTTTCTCTCTCTCTCTCCTCCTACCTTCTCAGTCTCAGTCTACTTCTGGATTTCTCCTACGGGACTACTGCAGTATGGAGGATGGTTACGAATTCTGATAACACTGGGGAACAGCAACATTGAGACTACGAGTTGAGGACTACTTGGGGATCTGATTTCATCTTCCTTCTGAAGATGTACTTGACATTGTGAGATCGATATCTGAGATATTGTGAGACTTGGCATTCACGACATTTCGGATTTTCGTCACTTCTGACATTTCAAGATACTATCTTTGGAAACATTGAGTTGACGCCATCTTCCCTCTCCTCCTCCTTTCGTCTCCTCTCTCTCTCCCTTCATCCGTGGATGATCTCAGTCCCTGGCCTTTCGTCTATGTCTGAGGGCGGGGCATTCACACCCCTGATGAATGTTTGAGAGTGTTCGATTGCAGTCCGAGTCGGTCCAAGGTATCTCAAGTCTTCCGCTTGCATTTGTATTAACTCTGTATTATCTGGTCGGTTCTGGGAATCTGCACCATACTTATGACTGTGTTTCACGAGTATGCAACAGTTTGGTATCGGAGCGGACCGGCATTGGATGACTCACCATTGATTGATTGATTGATTGATTGATTATCTACACCTGCACTCTGTTATCATTAAATCGCAAGTTGCAATTTTTTTTTTCTTTTCTCGTACTTTCATAGTAATTAGGTCGTTAAAATTATAATTTTAGGGTTCCGACTTTTTCTCCATATCGCGCAATTAGGGAATCGCTAATTACGAGAAACCTAGTTAGCGCTAATTAGGGTTAGTCCTAACCTAATCTAAACGGCCTATCTAACCTATGCGAAGTAAGTGCCAGCCAGGCATCCGGCCTATCAAGGCAGATCGGGCCTGAGCACGGCCATTTGCAAACTGCATCTTTTTGCGTTTGAAAGGTTGAATCTTTCCAGCAAATTGTGCATCTTCCAGCTACCATTCATCTTCTAAATGAGTGACCTCGTGCTGATGCTAAATTCTTCCGATGAAAATTTCGTGAAATTATTGAAATTATGTTAAATGTTTAAACCATACTTGCAACCGCACGAGCCGCACCCGCACAGATCGGATCCATGTGGAGATCCGTACGGCGGGTGCTCGATCTCCGCACGAGCCGCACCCGCACAGACCGGATCCGTGCGGAGATCCGTACGGGGGGTGGCTGTGCAGAATTTTTAATTTTTTTCTATTTTATTTTTTTTTGGAGGGGTCCGAGAGGTGTTACCTGGAGGGGTTATAGTACGACCTGGAGGACGACTAAGGAGAGTGGAGATGGAGGAGGAGAAGAGGTGGAGGGAGGAAAAGACCGTACATGAACCCCTAAAGTGCCCTGTACATCAAGCCCTAACGGCCCCTGCGCATCAAACCCTAAAGGACCGTCTAGATCAGCGTGACCCCTGCGCGAGGATGACAAACACAAATCGAGAAAAGGTCGAACAACAAAACCAGGGTCCTTTGGGACATCCGGCGCAATGGGAACTACACAGAGATGATTAGCATGACCCTGACGCAAGGATGACACACGATTCGAGAAAAGGTCCAAAAAAAAAAAAAAAAAAAAGCTCGATAGATTGGATTATTTTCGAAATTTCGA